AGAGATCGGTGATACGTCACCGATGCTGCAACCCAATAGGGAGGGTAGACAAAGGGACAAAGAAGTCGCAAATAAAATATATAATGGGTCATGAGCGCGCAGCATCTCAGTTGACATTTTTAAAAATTACCGAATCGCAATAAGTGTAATGCGAAAAGTATGGCTGACATCATGCAGACATTGAGGACATGGATAATATTTGAAGCATAGGAAATAGAATTTGAGGACATAATGAACGATGTAGAGTTCGAGAATATCGGTAACATTGAGGACAGAGTCGACGTAGCAGAATATATTAGAAATGTGGATGAGGAACAGTTCGCGAATATTAGAGACAAAATGTTTGATGAAGTGGAAGTAGATTTTGAGAATATAATGGATTAAGAGTCGTCTGACGAAGAAATGCTATCTGACGATAGTAGATATGCTAGTGATATGAGCGAATATGAAATGGATCGCGTAGAAAAATTCGTGTTGTCTCCAGAAATTCATACATTGAATGCTCGTACTAAGCACTGTGTGATCCACAATTATTATACAACGGGTGATTCTTTAACCGTGCATATCATGCATGATTCGTATAGCTGACATTAACGCTGGAGGAATGTATCACGTCAGGGTGCATGAGACCGATTCTTTCGGTAGGCTAGATGGCAGGTCGAATTGCAGACTACCTTTGTACATTATATTCTCGTGTAGCATGTGCCCACTTTGCACACATTAAAAAAAAACATGGAAAACCACAAGCGAGTGGAACGCGAACTGCTGGAGTGTGGCCAGGTCGCTACTCTGGTGGAGTGTTTCTCGTGGCTGCAACGATGCGACGAATGCATCGAGCAGCTCGAAGAACTTGTTGTGCCAAGCGTCCGCGCCTCATCATTGGATACAGACAATTCGCGATGGCGAGGATCGCGCGACTCGCGGGTGCAAAGTTGGAATTGGAACGACGTTTCGTGCACATTGGGGGCGAGTACGCGAGTGGCGAATACGCGAATGGCAACGAACGATCTCTTGTCTGGCGAGAGGTCGACGCCGCGCTTGAGAGTCGTATATTGACATTGCGGTGATAAACTCTAATCACATCGAGCCGCGGCGTTTTTTAGAAGACGCTGGCGATGTAGTGCTCGAGCGAGTGCGAGACACTGTAGAAAGACACGGCAGGTTAAAAGTGAACACCGCGTTCAATGGCGAGTTTGAGACGAAGGATAAACGTGCTAATAAGAGCATAATTACAAAGAACAGCGAGATATATCGTTGCACCGATATGCGCGAGTGGTACGAGCGACACGTCGTCGACACTCCTATCCTAGCATTGCTCGAAGAATTCCAGGAACGCGACAGCGGGTGGGCATCGTTGCGAATCCTCAATTTAGTAGTGAATGTAAATAAGCATAATCCAATGCACACGGGATATCACATCGAAGTGCCGCGAGAAATAGCGACGAAACGAGCGATAATCAGTGTTTATTCGACGGACAATGCATGTTTCGCGTGGTCAATGATCGCCGCTCTGTACCCCGCGAGACATATAAATCGGGAATCATCATATCCGTATTACATCGCAGTATTAAATCTCGCAAGTATCGAATTTCCAATGACATTAAAAGACATTCCGAAATTCGAACGGTTGAACGCGGTATCGATCAATGTGTACAGCATCGAAAATAGACAGGTCTTTCCTCTGCGGCTCACTAATGAGAAGAAGGAGAAGCATGTCAATCTCCTGTACTTATAACATTCACGCAACGACAACATTAGACACTTTGCGTGGATAAAAAATCTATCCCGCCTTGTAAGATCACATATTACTGGGAACGAGAGCAGGAAATATTTTTGTGATCGGTAAATATAATAAAAATAGTCAATAAAAACAATAAAAAGAAATAAAAAAAATGATTTCTTTATTATTTGCAAATGCCTTCATTACTTCAGTTCGTGCGAAAAATTGCAGTCGCACGAAGTGGACTGCCAGAAGATCAACAACTGCGCCATCCGAGTGTCGAGCGAGGACGACAGGTGGCTCGAACTTGACAATTATAACAATCAAGAACGAGTGCCGTTCATCATCTACGCCGATTTGGAATGCGTCTTATGCAAGACGAAATCCGACAAGGAAGATGCGTCGTCGTACGTGTATCAACAGCATGACGCGTTTAGCATAGACTATTACGTGCGATGTGCGAACGATAACGTTATCGTCGTATCACTTCTGTCGCGATGAAGACTGTATTGCGTGGTTCACGCAACAATTCAATGATTTGGCACATCGCGTGAAAAATATCGTATCCATCAAAGTGCCCATGGAAACGTTATCTAAACAGCAATTGGAGGCGTACCGTAGCGCGTTGTAACATCTGCGAAAAACCATTCGCGCCGGATGACATGCTGGTCCGCGATCATTGTCATCTCACCGGTAGATACCGTGGTCCAGCGCATTCGAATTGTAATTTAAATTATAAAAATTCGTTTTATATTCCAGTCGTATTTCACAATTTATCAAGCTACGACGCGCATTTTATAATTAAGGAAATCGCTACTGTGTATGATGGACATACAGATATACTACCGATAACTAAAGAAAAATATATTTCATTCACTAAATATGTCGATAGCACCAAAGACAAAAATGAAAAAAATTTTCAGAAAAATTGCGTAAAATTAAGATTCATTGATTCTTTCAAATTTTTAAATGCAAGCTTTGATAAATTGGCGTCGTATCTCGACAAAGGTAAATTAAAAATTGTACGTTCCGAATTTCCAACATTATTAGATGAAGAATTTGAATTACTCACACGAAAAGGTGTCTTTCCGTACGAGTACATTGATTGCGTCAAAAAATTGCAGGACACGCGCTTACCACCGCGCGAATTATTTTTCAGTTCGACAGGCGATACAGTATCCGAGAGCGATTACGCTCACTCCGCGAACATCTGGAAGTGATTCTCCATCCGAACGCTCGGCGAGTACAGTGATCTGTACTTGAAAACTGATGTCTTATTATTAGCAGACATTTTCGAAAATTTCCACAATAGTTGCATCGCGAGTTACTGTCTCGATCCCGCACATTATTATACGCCAGGTTTCACGTGGGACGCCATGCTGAAATATACACGAGTAAGATTCGAGTTGCTCACCGACATTGATATGGTCATGTTTAACGAGCGCGGTATACGCGGCGGTCTCAGTCAATGCCCCGACAGATACGCGCAGGCTAATAACTAATATATTCGTTCAATCCATCGAAATCGTCGTCGTACTTGATGTATAATACTACAATGTGAATAATCTATATGGATGGGCGATGTGTCAACCTTTACCATATACCGAATTTCGGTGGGTTGAAGACGCTGCGAACTTTGACGTGAGCGCGATTGCTCCGGATTCACCTACAGTTATATTCTCGAATCGAGATCGATCTCGAATATCCGCAGCATCTACACGACCAATACACTGACGTATCTTTTTGTCCAACGCGCGATAAACCGCTTGGCAAGCGCGAAGATAAACTTCTAACGACGTTGTACGATAAGCAGCGTCATCCATTATCGCAATCTGCAGCAATGTATTCGTCACGGTCTTCGCGTAATAGATCCATCGAACTATAATTCGCTCAATTTCCATGGCTCTGCGATTACATTGATTGAACTCAATACACAATTTAGAACGCTCGCGAAAAAAGATTTCGAAAAAAATTTGTATAAACTAATGAACAACGCGATATTCGGTTAAGAACCATGGAGAATGTGCGCAACCACGTTGATGTAAAATTAATAACAAAATGGGACGGACGGTAGGCGCAGAGGTAATGATCGTGAAATTGAATTTTCACAGCCGCCAGCGTCTTTGCGGAAAATTTGATCGCCGTCGAAATGCGCAAACTCGAGGTGAAGTTCAACAAGCCGATTTACGTGGATATGTGCAATCCACTTCTTGACATATCGAAAGTCTGTTTGTACGAATTTCACAACGAGTACATGTTATCGATGTATCACGACAAATGCAGGATCATGTACACCGACACGGATAATCTCATTTACTATATAGAATGCGAACAATGTTTACGAGACTATGAAACGCGATATCGCTAGATTCGACACGAGCGATTATAGCAGACAACGTATACGGTATGCCTCTCGTGAACAAAAAGTACTCGGCCTGATGAAGGATGAGAACAACGATGTATTAATGACTGAATTTGTTGGACTTAGAGCGAAGATGTACGCGGTGAGAGTAGATGGCAAGAAGGACATTAAAAAGGCGAAAGGCATAAAGAATAACGTCATAGCGCGAACGATAATGTTCGACGATTACACACGGTGTTTGAATGAAAAGATTAAAATGACGCCATCAATCGTGTATATGATCTAAATTACACGAGATGTACACGATATCCGAATCGAAAATTGCTCTGAGTCCATACGATGACAAACGACGTACCGGACGGAGACGTTATGGGGGCATTGGCAGATACCTTTGTAATACAATATATGCATTATATGTATTATATGTGATATATATTGCTATTATATATTACTATTGTAATTTACTTATTTTTTTTATATTTATATAAGTATTATTACTATTTTTTATGTATTACGATTATTGTACTTTCATATAATACATATCGCATGTTTTTAACATTTATATATGTATTATATTATATACTAGTATTCTAATTTACTTTACTTATTTTATGTGTCTCATATTTTTATCATTTAGGCATATTATTATTGTGTATTTTTATTCTTTTGATTTATACTTTACGTATGTTTTTTTTTACATGTATATAAGTATTACTATTATGTATTACTACATATGTATGTATTCTGCTCCATAAATTGTTACAAATAATTATACATTTTGTATACTCCAAAACGAAGATGATGATGATGAATGGGGAGTAATAAAAAAAAATACGTTTATATACCTATATTGATATATTTTTATATGTAGAAAAAAATACACGAAACATTTTATCAAATGACATTGTTTTTGTGTATCTATGAATTGTGCGATCCATCGAATCCCAACCACTTGACGTGCACCTTGTCTCCCTTCCTACGCAGTACTTTCTCCACGAGATACACGTCCGGATGAGTAGTGCGATGAAATTCGTGCTCGTAGAACTCACCAGCGACGGATTTTCCGCGATAGTTCTCGAGTAGATAGGTTACGGGATTGATACGCTGTACTTTAACGATCGTAAACACCTCGGTGGTCCAATTTGGCGTGTAACCCTTCTCAAAAACCGTCTTGTACTTGCTCACGCGTACCGAATCGCCTACTTTGAATTTTGCTGGACCAGCGATTTTTATCACGCTGTACACCGGGTCCAAGAGTCTTTCGGCGATCGCGGGAGTTACGTTGGTGGGTCGCATGCCGATAGTGCGATGCTTGCGCGCGTTGTAATCTGATACGAGACGCGGCAATTTGTCGATCCACTTGTAATTGAGTGTAAACATCTTCCACATGTCGCTTTTGAGCGTACGATTGAGAACCGCTCGACCGTACCGACGCTTTCAACGAATACATGATTAACATCGTGTTTTTTCAAGATTTTCTGCACATCAGCATAGTAAAACTCCTTCCCCATATCCGTTTGTAAATTTTTAGGACATCTTCTACTTGCTCGAATTATCTCAACAATAGCATCAGTCGTCTCACTTCCACCCTTGCTCTTGAGCAGCCTATGCGTACTTACTCAACACATCGATGACGGAGTATGTAGTGGTGGCCTCTGTTAAAGCTCGAGTACGGATGCATCTCAACGATATCAGCCTGCCATAGATCGTCGTATCCTCGAACTATGACGCGTCTTCGTGGAAAATTTCTTCTCGCCGGAGCATGCAGTTCCTCGACGAGTCGACGTCTCTCGGAGCTAATTTTTCTCTTTTCGCTGGATCTTTTTTTCATGATTCGACGCGTAATACAAAGGACAAAAGTATTTTTTTTTTCGCTGACGCCACTCGACTGACTCGTTGATACGCGATTTAATTTATAATAAGACCGGCTTCGCCGAAGTTCCTCGATAGCATCTCGTTGTCGTGAGCGTTGTTGCCCGCTCGATGCGAAGCGTCGAGCAATCGTAGACGATTCACCAGCTCGTTGGGATCGTCCCAATGCACGTAATCGATCGCGTTCAACGTTATTGAGTGAGGTAATCCCTTTCCAGATTTCTTCTTCTGTTTCTTGGGTGTGATCGACATCAACGGCGCGATTACGTATTTGTACTTGTATCCCCTGTTGATCAATCAGCCCTGCGAATGATGCTTGTGTTTGTGCGCATTCGTCGCCAGCAGCATGCTCTTGTACTTGTTCATATCGTCTTCCGTGTAAAGGAGATCGTTGGGAATTCTTTTGAAAATTAACTTGTAAAGATCGGGTGAACCGGTGTATTGTACGCCGTCGATAATTATGTTGTCCACATCATCCACGTCGAAACATTTATTGCCAAACATCAATCCATCCTTGTGTAGGTAAACGCCGTATATTTCCCATTTTTCTTTTTATCTTGCGCCCCTCCCAGGACAGCCTCGACGTACTTTTGACCCAGCGGACCCAAGCCGGCTTGCAACGTCTCTCGACCTTCTGACGTTTGCAATCGATTTTGAACCTTTGTTGCTAGCGTGTCGTCCGCCGTTTCGAAAACGTTATTCAACGATTCTATCGTCGGTACGATCATACGCGGAGTGGAGGTGTTC